CCCAGCAGGAGGAAGGATGCAGGCAGCTGGGAAGGCAAGGAAAGAGGTGAAATGCACGCTACAAGAGAGAGGCTGCTCAGGTCTGAAAGGATGACTGATAAACCACAATGCTCTTGACTTCTTTGTGCAGCAAAATGTGGGAGAGGAGAGCAAAGGGGTGAATCCCATTATGGAAGCTTCACTTTCTGAATGATTCAGACAGGAAAAGCAGAAACCTGTGTCTGCAGAGGAGTTTTACCTTCCAAGGCGGTGGGAACAGCTGGCACTTCCCAGGTTGGCTGGGGAAATGGCAGTCTTTTGTCCCGGGACATTTCAGCTCCCTGGTCACACAGCTCACATTTTCCTGGGCTCCCAGGGGCTCTTAGGAAAGGGGTGCCCAGTGAGAAGGGTGCCAGCCACCCTGTTGTGCCTCCTAGGAGAAGGGCAAGGGCTGATCATGGGGAAGCAGAGACCTTGGGAAGAAAATGAGGGAGGTGAAGGGAGACTTGCCAGGGAAAGAGTTAAGAGAGGCAGGGAGCAGCTGGGCTGTGTCTGTTTGCTGCAGCTATGTGGGCTGCAGGGTAGAAAAGAACACTCTCCAGCCTGGAGGAGGCAGATGAGGGAGTGTCTTCAAGAACAGTGGATGTGGATGAGGGAGGCAGCAGGTCTTCCCCTCTCTGCTCCCATGAGCTGTCACTGCAGGGAAACGCTCTGTGTCCCCAAAAGGTCTGGTGACAAAGCAGTGACGAGCTGGTGGGTCTGGCAACAGCCGCTTGGTGCTTCTGGTTCTTCTTCTGTGGAAGGCTCCGTCTGAGCGGGTCTTGGGCTGCCTCCTGCTGAGGAAGTGACTGGACTGTGGAGGTAGGCAACCACACCATCTCCTGACATGGGTGTGACACAGATGCTGTCCCCATCCGTGTGAGCTCCCTGTGATGGATGCCCACCCCAGAGCCCTAGCTCAGAGTTCTCCCACCATGCTGCCCAAGCTGTGGCACTGGTGTGGATGACCTCGCAGGGCCAACCCAGCAGGGTTCTGCAGGCTGCAGGGTCTCTGATGCTGGCAGGCACACCTGGGCAGCCCACGGTCACTGCCCAGGGCTGGAGCTACTCCTACTTTGCAGTGCTGGGCTGGAGCTGATGTGAAAGCCGCTGTTGGGCAGAGGCTGTGGAAAGCCACAGAAGGGGATTCAGGCAGCTGCAGTGCTGGAGTTGTAGGTGGTGAAGTTTTGTCAGGGACAGGATGGAGCTGGTGTGGCTGCATCTGATGCTGATCCACGTGCAGCACGTCACTGCAGTGACCTGGCTGTAAGTATGCTTTGTGCTTGTATTGTCTGGTTTGGTAAGCCACCTAGGGAGGTGCTGTCTCCTAGAAAATAGGGTGAGAACAGGGTGGAAGAAGGAATCTGGGCAACCAAAAAGCAGAAGAGGCATCTCTGGGAGCATGGAGGGAGAGGGATGGCAAGGCTGAAGAGATGCAGACCAGAATGGGCAGCAAGAATGTCCAATTCACAGACAACGTGGCCACAGCCCCTTTCCCTGCCCCATTTCTGCTCTAAGATATGGCTAGAGAGGGTTAGTCCTGCAGACATGAGGCTCTGGCTCTAGCCCATCTGCAACAGAACCTCTGCCCTGCTCCACAGGTCCCTGGCCAAGCAGACTTCCCTGCAGGCAGTCCTCCGGGACCCCAGGGGCTGTGATGGCCTGAGGGGGTTGGAGGAAGAGCAGGTCTGTGTTTGCCAGTGGCAGTGGAAGCCATGGAGGTGACGAAGTGAGGTGTGGAGCTGGCTGTCCTCGAGTGCCAGCTCCAGTTTCACTCTCGCCGCTGGAACTGCTCCACCCTGCAGGGGCTGCAGGTCTTCGGCAAGGCCACCATCCAAGGTCAGCGAGGGCAGGCTTGGCATGGTGTCCCTCCAGTATGCCCACTGTCCCCTTGACACATCAGCCTTTCCTGGGCTGGTGTGCAAGGGCTGCACTGGACCCATCCCCAGAGTGGCCAGTGCCTTCTTCCACGTGCTAACATGTCAGTGCAGGGCAAACTGAACTGAATGCTCTCACACACACTAGCATTCTGGAGAAACTTCTTCCTGTTTGGCCACATTTGGCTTTTTGGTCCCATTGGACCATCCTGGGTGCCAGCTCTGCAGACTGGTAAATTTCTCCCTGACCCTGCCACCCACCCTGCCACAGAGCCATGGCACTTACTGACTCCCAGCCTTGGGAACAGCTGCACTGTGTGAATATCCTGACATATATTTCTCCCGAGCAGTCTCCATCTGAATGCATCCTTCCTGCATGCAGTGACAGCCTCTTTTCCCACACTCTGCCCCATACGTGCCTTTGTCCTCCGCAGACTGGTGCCACTTCTTGTCCCGCTGCAGGCACACGGGAGTCTGCTTTCATCCACGCCATCTCGGCTGCCGGCATTGCTTTTGCTGTGAGCCCTGCCTGCAGCCGGGGGGAGCTGCACGAGTGTGGCTGCAACCGCAAGGTCCGAGGAGTCAGCCCTGAAGGTGAAGGAAGAAGCTGGGAGTAAATGGCAGAGGGGAAGGTCCATGGGGGAGACAGGCTGGAAAAGGAGACGCTTTCATTCTCCACAGGTCTTTGGGAGATCCTCTCAGGGCTTCTCTTTCCTTGTCACAAGGCTGCTTTCCCTCTGCAGGTTTCCAGTGGTCAGGCTGCTCTAATAACCTGTTTTATGGGATTGCCTTCTCTCAGGCCTTCACGGACAGCCCTGAGAGGAGCTGCAGTGTCTCCTCCAGCTGAGCGCTCATGAGCCTGTCCAGCAATGAGGCTGGAAGGAAGGAAAGGGCATGAATAGAGGCTGGGAGTGAGCCTGGCTGCAGGGCTTCTCCCTGGCCCAGCAGAACTCAGTCCAGCCCCTACACCCCAACAGGCACCTCAGGGCAGCCAGGGGCTCCCACAGCAGTCTGCATCCTGCTGTCTTTCCTAGCCCAGCACTGTGCTGATTATCCTGAGGCAGCTCCTGCCTGTGTGGAGGGTGTGCTGTCTCCTTTTCCACACAGATCCCAGCTATGATTCAGGAAATAATTGACTGTGTTCTGCTCTGAAGGGCTTCCCTGCCCCTCCAGCCTTGCTTCAATAAAGACAGACATCTGCAGGGCCGCAGTCAGATCTGGTCCCTTGAGCATCCTCCACTCTGGCCAGATCTGTTCCCCTCCCCGCAGCCCTGCAGGTCAGAACAGCTCCCCATCCTCTCTCTGCATCAGGGATTTATCTTGCAGACCCAAACCATCTTGTTTCCCACAGAGTGGATCTCCTTCAGTTCATACTGTGCTGGATTAAAAAGACACTTTTGCCCTTTCCCTTCCCCTTTCCGCCCCTGATCTCCAGCCCCATGGGCGGTGTTGGGGGAACAGCAGCACAGGGGAGGTGCTGGGAAGGTGTCCCTGGTCAGGCTGGCAGCTGCCTCCTGCTCCGCAGGCTCTCCTGGCCCACATGAAGGCGGAGTGCAAGTGCCATGGCGTGTCGGGCTCCTGCGAGGTGTGAGCCCGCTGGAAGCTCGTGCCTCCCCTCCCCACACGGGCAACGTCCTCAAGGAAAAGTCTGAGGGGACAACAGAGGTTTTCCCGAAGCGGGTCGGTTCCCGGCAGCTCCTGATGCCCAGCTCTCACTTCAAGCCCTACACGGCCTGGTCTACCTGCGGGCCAGCCCGGCCTTCTGCGAGCGGGACCCTCGGCACGGCCCCTCCGGCCCCTCCGGCACCTCCGGCCGGCAGCGCAAGCGGCCATGGCCGGCCAGGGCCGGCAGCGAGCCGCTGTGCTGCGGCCATAGATCAGGGCAGGGCAGCAGGGCAGCAGGGCAGGGCTGCCCGGGCCCGGGGGAGTGCTGCAGCTGCAGGCTCCAATGGTGCTGCTCCCTCAAGTGCAGGCGGTGCCGGCACCTCGTGGAGCTGCACAGGTGCCGCCGAGGGACGGCAGAGCCGCCGCAGGGCAGATGCCCGGGTGCCAGCAGCTCTCCCCGCAGCAGCCTCCCGCCTGCCGCCGTGGGCTGCTGTGGTTTGAATTATTTTTCCGGGTGGAGGGTTGGAGGACACAGGCCAAATAAACCACTAAGCTTGAGGAAAAAACCCAGCCGCAGTGGAAAGCAAAGTGCACACAAAAGCTTCTTGCTCACATGCTGTGTTTGGGATCGGGAGAGTCCCTGTCTCTGGTCCCTCTAGCCTCTGGACATGCAAGAAATGCCTTTTCCAGTGCCCAGCTGCTCCTTTGGCTGGAGAAATGTTTCCAAGAGGAGTTCCAGCAGCTGCCACAATGAGGCTCCCTCATTCAGTCTGATCTCAGCACCAGGGAATGTTATGGAACAAGCTATCCTAAGTACAATCGCACAGCACTACCAGGGAATCTGTCCTAGCCTGGATGGGTTCATAAAAGGCAGGTCCTGCTTGACCAACCTGGTCTTTTATCACCAGGTGACCCGCCTAGGGATGAGGGAAAGTTATGCGCATGTCATCTTCTACCTGGACTTCAGTAAAGCCTTTGACACCAGTTCCCACAGCGTTCTCCTGGAGAAGCTGGCAGCCCACGGCCTGAGCAGGTGCATTCTTTGGTGTCCAGTTCTGGGCTCTTCACTTCCAGAAAGACACTGAGGTGTTGGAGTGTGTCCAGAGAAGGGCAGCAAAGCCTGTGAAGGGTCTGGAGAGGCAAAAGGAGATGGGGTTGTTCAGCCTGGAGAAAAGGAGGCTCAGGGGGAGCCCTGATCACTCTCTATAACTCCCTCAAAGGAGGCTGCAGCCATGTGGGAACTGGTCTCTTCTCTCAGGCAACCAGCGACAGGACAAGAGGAAATGGCTTCAAGCTGCGCCAGGGGAGGTTCAGGCAGGTATTAGGAAAAAAGTTTCTTCACTGAAAGGGTGGTCAGGCATTGGAACACGTTCCCCAGGAAAGTGGTGGAATCACCACCCCAGAAGTGTTCAGAAAACAAGTGGCGCTTTGCAATATGGTTTAGAGGGCATGGTGGTATTTGGTCAAAGGCCTTGACTATCTTGAAGGTCTTTACAAACTTTAATAATTTTTTGATTGCTTCCTGGAGAGGCTGTGGAACCTGTCTTGCCACAGCTGCACCTCCTTGCGTCCCTCCCTCGCACTCAGCACCCGGTAGGTCTTGTTACGCCTGCATTTCACGCGAAACACCTGCAAGGAGAGCCTGGCTTCGTGGGGTGGTACCGCTGCCCATCCTTCCCCAAGGAAAGAGACCTCCATGGTGGATAGCACCTGGAGGCTGGGATGACGGGAGCACCAGGGGAAGAGGGGAGGACGAGCTGAACTGACAGCTGAACTGTGTGTTTGCTAGGATACAGGCCAGTCCTCTGTCCTGCTCTGGTGATTTGGGGTTTTGCTACTGCTTAGCAGATGGGGGAGATCCTGCCCTTCAGGGATATACAGGGATATCATCCCTCATGTTGTCTGTGCAAATCTCACCCAGCAATGACTCCCCACCTCCCCCAAACACACCTAATTCTGTCCTCCTAGAAGGAAAAGCAGTGGGCCAGTGAGTCCAGCAGGGGCTCGGGGCTGGCTGTGGAGGGGCCAGCCATGGAAGAGCAGGCTGTGCAAAAGGCAGCGTAGCTGCTTCTCACCCTCTCGTTGTAGATACTCTTCAGGAGGCACTGGTAACTCTTGAACATGCAGTAGTTGGGATGCTGAACCCCGCTCGAGTCACAGATCTGGTGACAAGAGAATGAAGGTCAGAGAAAAAAGAGGAGAAGAAGGGATGGGACATCCACTGATAGTCACCCACCTTTCCCGAGCCATCCACCTCTGGGAAGATGTCATACTCTGCCTTTAGCCAGAAGGTCACAGCAGGGTCCTTACAGCCATAGATGGCCATCCGGCTGCACCAGTACTCCATCCTCATCCCTCTCAAAAAGTCCACGTTGTAGTCCTCCGGGGTCTGTGAGGACCTGGACTGCAAAGGGGTGGGATAAAGTGAGCCGTGCTTCTTCCTCCTCTCCCCCAACTCCCAGTCCAGGCTCCTCCTGCAAGGGCAGCAGGACACAGAGCTCACTGGGTACCTTGCCCTCTAAGTGCCTGTGCTGGGCTGAGATCTCGGGGTTCATGTAGGTGACGAAGTCGTCCGAGTCGCAGTGGACGCGGTTCAGGGTCTCGATGTTCTGGCACTGCTCCCTCTTCAGCGAGCAGAACGCGCAGTCGGGGCACAGGTCCACGTGGTGCCGCCCGAGGTTGTCACACACCTGGGGTGGATCCAGCGGGGAGTCAGGGGGGAACAGGAGACTCAGAACCTCCCCAAAGAGGAGGCTGGGGAGTTCCCATGTTCCTGGCTTGGAGCCTGCCTCCCTGGTCACCCAGGTCAGCTTCTCTCGGGAGGTGGGCTGCACACAGTGGGGGCCAAAGGTGGACACTGGTGTCTTTACCGAGTCTCCGAACCCAAGGACTCTTTTTTCCATCTCCTTCCAGGCCATGGTGAGCATCGATGAGAGGCAATTTCCCTCCAGCACTGCGTAGCACAGGACCAGCACTGCCTCATCGTTCTGCAGGGCCAGAAGGCTGACAGAGAAAGGGAAGGAGGGAATTATCTCTTTCCTTGCACAAACTGAAGAGATGCATCTTTAGCTAATGCCAAAACAAAGTAAAAAAAAATCCCTTCCCAAAGAAACCTTGGGCTCTTGGCTAAACTGCATAGAGGAATGGGGCTCTCTGCAGGGTCTGCACAGGCCTGTGTGACACAGAGGCTGCAGGGGGGCTGCTGTGCATTTGGGGGCATGTGAGAGGGACTGGATGAGGAGCACAGCTCCAAGAGCTTTCCCAGGGCCCCTGCAGCAGCTGCTACCTAATTTCATCCATCTGAGTGCATCTGGAGGAGATGTTTGTTAGGTGTCTGCTGAGTCTTGAACGTCGCACAGCCCCGTTTGGGTCTGGAGGATGTCACATATTAAACCTCTCTCCCAAGTATTTGACAGAAACAGAGAAAAACTTGTTAACCATGAACTTACTGTTTGTCCAAACTGACATGGGTAGCTAAAAGTGGAAAATTTAAGGACAATGGGATGAAAGCAATGAGAATATTTGTCATCTCTTAGGAACAATGGAATTTGTAAACATGGTACAGAACTGTTAGCAGACAGGGATGGTTGGTTTCAATCATCACCAATGATGCAGAAGAGGTAAACATGCTCATTAGATATTTGCCTCTTGTGTCTGGAAACAAAGCCAGTGATAAATAAACAAACTTTGATCTGCCAAGAAGAGCAGCAGCTGCGTATGTTAAAATGCTCTTAAAATCCATGCACAGGCTAACATGTATGGACGAGTTTTCCTGAGAATATCTGAAACTTCTTGGAGACCTTCAGATTAGCATTAAAAAAAAAAAAAATTAAGAAGAGGTGGAGAACCTGAAGGAAGGTCATGAAGATGAGATTTCCTAAGGCCTGGAAAACTTTCACCTAGAGGTAGAAGCTAGGAAACATCACTCAGCTGAGCAAAGACACCAGTGGGTTCCCTGCCCAGGAGGGCTTCAGCTGGAAAGCTCTCCTTGTGAGCAGGTGAAAGAGTAATGACTTTTGGTGACTGGAATTTGGGGCATGATCCATTCAAACCAGAAGCAAACTACATCTTCCTGACACCACGGGTGTTTAGCATGGGAGCAGCTGATGGGTGCTTCCCCTACAGCTCAGGGACTTCAAAAAGATATCCCAAACTTCTGTTAGGAGAGGAGTCTGGGGCTCAACCACATAGCACTGTTGTCTTCTCTGGGGCTCACCAGACATGACTTCATGTCCTGTGCTGAGCAGGAAGGTGAGGGCAATTCCTAGACCTGAATGTTAAAAGTTATGAGCTTCACAGAAAACTCAGTTGTTGTGCCACACTGCATAATTCTACCAAGAAATTCTGCTGTGCTCTCTGTCACATCCTTTTCCTGCTCTATCTCTGCTCTCCATCTCTGCTGTGAGGTTTTCTGGCCTCACAGTTGCAAATTTATGAGCTGATTTACCACCTCTGTGTGAGTATAACAGCACTGCTGCTGGCTCTCTCCACTCCTTGACACGCTGCTGAGCTGTTTGTGGATGCACGGAGGTTTCACCATGCTTCAGGGAAAGGGATGGGTCTATCTAAAGCAAGTTCCTAATGCAAATCCCTCCCCAGATTAGTACCTCTGCCTGTTATTGTCCTAACCACTGCCCTGGAAAAAGCCTAACGGGTACTGTGAGGCAAAGATCCAAAGGAAATGTGGAAAAAAACCAAACCAGGATTAAGAAGAATCTGTGGGCCGAGATCAGTAGTTGATCCAAGGCAAAAGAGAAAACTTCAGGCACCAGCTTATCATACTTCATCATCTCAGGATGTGGAAGGACACACAGAGCCTGCTTCAGTGGTATCTCTGAAGAGTGCTGGGGAGCAGCATCCGCCTCTCCCGCCACGTAATGACAAGGATTTGGGCCATTAGCTTTCGGCTGCTGAGCCTTCCTGATACTGGCTGGCTGAGGTGCAGGGAGCACCTGAGGCGAGCAGAAAAGAAGATAAGGAGCAAACAGCAGCTTTCCAGCACCTGGTAAATTCTGATTTAGGGGGGTTGCTGCAGGAAACTAAAACCAGTTATGAAAAAGCCACTCTTAACAGCTTCAGAAAGAGGAAGAAAAGATCTTTGACTGCATTCCAGGACTGGTTATGGGTGATGATAATTCAAAAAGAGGTTTTTTTTTTCTCGGGATGGTATTTTTAATGAAGGGTCTGGCCTTAAAATGAAAGCCTCTGGGGTTGAAGTAGATAAGCACCAAAGGACTGTTTGGAGGGGTAAAGGAGGAGGAGGAGGAGGGGGAGTCACCAGGAGTGTGTGTATCTCTCACTGCACATAAGTATCTCAAGAGTGGGTGTCAAGAGGATAGTTCCAGACTCTTTACAGTGGTTCCTGGCCACAGGATGAGGAGCAGTGGCCATAAACTAAAACACAAAGAGTTCCACCTCAACATCAGGAAGAACTTCTTTACATTGAGGGTGGCAGAGCAGTGGAACAGGCTGTCCAGGGAGGTGATGGAGTCTCCCTCTCCAGACAATCAAAACCCATCTGGACAGGTTCCTGTGTCACCTGCTCCAGGTGACCCTTCCTTGGCAGGGATTGGACAGAATGATCTCCAACCCTAACAGTTCTGGGGTTCTGAGAGGGCTCAGAGCAGCCTTGCTGGGGAAGCTGGGCTCACGTGAACCACATGTGAATAGCAACAGAATAAGATCTGGATCCAGGACAGCTGTGGTGCTGAAAGGGGTGCAGGGGCTGTAGCTGACAAATGACACAACAGTGGGAAGCTCTGGGAAAAAGAGCATGTGCAATTCTTCCTGCAAACAGAAAAGCAGAGAAGGGAGGCTGATGTCTTTCCACATATCCAAATGCTGAATCCCATCACTGGGTAGTGTGCCCAGAGCTGGAACATGGACGTCTTTTGAAGGGACACTGAAAATTGCTGCAGAAAATCAGAGTTGCATGGGCTTTACAAAGTAAGGGGTACAGAGCTCTCTTTAGCTTATTGCAAGAATGAATCATGGTTTAGAGTTAACTCTGAGGAAAGGATATACTGGGAAATAAGGCAGAAAGCACAATAAGGACTAAAAATAGCAAATAGGTGCAACAATTTTCATTTCCCCCTCCCGCCCAATGATTCACTGCTACCAGCAAGACCACAGGAAAGTGCTGCAGATTCTTCTTGTGTTACTACCCCTGCCCTGTCTCTCTGTAAAGATCACAGCTGGCCTCATCAGGCGCTATGAAAACTGGAATAGCTGCCAGAGCAGCTGCCACAAGCCACAGAGGATGAATAAGGATAGATGTCCTGCTGGGCATAAGACCCTAGGGAAGACTTGCAGCTCTGGGATCTGTGTCCATCACAGCCATGCCCACCTTGTGTTAAACCAGATGCTTAATGGCACCTGTGCACAACGACCGGTCCCACCCAGCACTGCTCTTCTTGCTGGAATGGAAGTGCCTCCAGGCATTTTGCCCCTTTTTTAGGTCATGCTTTGAAGTCCCTCTGAGAGGAGGCGGGATGTGGCGAGCTGCAAAGCCGACAGGCGCGGTCTATCTCGCCTTTTCATCCTTCAGTGGGGGCTTAAGCTTTGCTTAGCATGATTGATGAGGCTCAGCTGCCAGTTACAGACACACAGTCAGCATTAGTGTCTTTGAGAAACTCTGCAGCAGAGCAGCGAGTGTCATCTGCCATCACAGCAGTCCCCCAGTAATCCCAACAGAACTCAGTCACAGCAAGGCTCAGTTTCAGAGGCAGGGGGAACGAAATCCTCAATGAAACACCATTTTGCCTGAGAGCACATACACCAGCAAAACTTTTGCCAGGCTGTGAAAGCCTCCTACGATATTAGGAAGGAGGATGACATATGTTAGAGGCTTGCAAGAAGACAGTTATGGCTTTACAACATGAGGCAGTTCATCTTTACATGCAGAAGTGAATCTCTGGCTGCGCTGTGGCAGTGGTGTGCAGCATGCTCAAGAGAAACCACAGATGTGCAATGAGGCACAAAATCTGTGTGCTTACAGGAACATCACCAGTCTGCAAGAGTGCGAAACCAAAATGACTTCTCCATGAAAACCACATCTAGACACATTTTTTTTCCTCTTGGTAAGCAAAATAATATTTGCATGTCAGTCAAAGCAAATGGTCCTCAGCCATAAGGTACCAAAGGATCAAAAAGTGACTTTGAGTGAAAGCATAATATCCTTTTGCAGGTTTTTTTCTCTGTCACCAGCCCCAGGTACCTGAGGACAGAAGCAAACAGATCCTGGCAGACCAGCTGAGAAAAGCTGAACATGCTCCATGAGCTCCTAACGCATCCATAGGCCAGAGGAGCTGGGGAGGGTGTGTGACAGGGCTGCAGCAAGCTGGCCTGGTGCAGGGCCCTGTGCTGCACTGCCGTGATGCTGCCTCCAAAACCAGAATGGGGAACCAGAAGCATGCTAGGAAGAGCTGTGCACACATCCAGAGTGCACAGAGGTGCACATGCTCAAGGAGAAGCGTGGCCCTGCACAGCTTTGGGCTCCTGGCTGTTTCCTAGCCCAGGGCTGCTGTAGCTCCCCTTGGGTGAGGACAGAGCACTCCTGGGAGGATTCCTCAGGTCAGGCTGCTTTAAGAAACATCTGCTTTGCCTTGCACACCGGGAGGCAAGGAGCACAGCAAGACACATCCCAAGGACCTGTGTTTGCAAGGACACTGTTTCTGCACATCACCCAGACTCCTGGGACACGTGTTTGGAGGAAGACGAGTGCAGAGGTGATTGCACAGTGCAGATGGCCACAGTGTGGGGAAACACAGCACAAAGCCTTGCCTGCAGCTCAGGCCCAGACTGAACTCACTTTGCTCAGGATACAAGGACAGTGCCATTTTCAGGCACTAACAGTGCTGGATCACCCACTCCCTGCTCACTTTGTGCTGGAACGCGAGGTGCCTGGGGGCTCCCTAGGAACATTCCTGATCTGGATGGGACAGCTTGCTCCAGAACACTTGCCCACACTCACTAGCTGCTCCGAGCAGGGACATGGATGCCCTGGGGCTGCTGTGCAGGAGGACAGTCCTGCACGGGTGGTGTGTGGTACCCAGAAAGAGCAGACTTCCCCTCACCTGCCTCGGGGGGGAGTTTCCTGCTCTGATGTGCCTCCTGGGACCGGGCTGGTGAAGTTCCAAGAGGGGGCCTTGGTGTCCAAGGATGCATCCAAGGAGAGGGCTGAATGGATCAGCTGCCAGATGCTTTTTCTCAGGTTTTGTTCGTCAGGGGATTCTGTCCGGGAAGGTGAGGTGGCAGCCCAGAGATTTGTTGGGTGCATAGTCCTGCTCTTCTGCCAGGGCGTGGGCGCCTTTGCCGTGGCTGTGGGGTGCTTCGTCGGCCACGGTTTCTGAGCTAACAGTGCAGGAGAGAACTTGAGAAGGTCTGCCACGCTGTCCTGCAGCAGGGCATCAGCAGCTGACAGAACAGCCTGCTCCTGGGTGCTGACACAGAGGGATGGAGCGGCCGAAGGCGGCTTTTGGAGGCCAGACAGAAAGCTGCAGGGGTGCAGGGCAGCTACAGGAGACCAGCAGGTGAGACGGGGTGCCAGCACAGCTCGGTGCAGCCGTACCTTGTGTGACAGGGGAGGCTCTGCCCTGTACCGCGGGTTTCGCGGTGCTGGATGGCTCCACTGGGGAAGGGCTTGCTAGAGACTCGCTCAAACATGGGATTCGCTGCGTGGAGGGGAGAGGGACAAACACAACTCTCACTGTGTTATCTTCCCTTCTTCTTCAGCCTTCCATTTCCCAGGGGATACTCCCCCCAGCCGTCCCACAGCCCACTCCTTACCTTGATGAAGAACTGCTGTTTGAGGCAGCGGTACTGGGCGAACTGGCAGAAGGTCTGGAACAGCACCACCTCTGGAAATTCAGAGCAGACTGGCCCTAGAGACAGAGATGTGGGATGGAGGCAGGCCTGCGTGCACCAAGAGATGGGGACCCTCTCAGGTGACAGCTTGTGGATGCAGGGAAACTCCAAGCTGTGTGCCCCAAGGTGGAGATCACAGCCTTGGGCTGTTAGAGCTCCCAATTCCAGGCACCACATCCCATTTCCCTCCAGCCCCCTGAGGGTCTCACTGTGTCCTTCTGCCCTTTTTCACAGTTATCTTCCCTATGACAGACACAAATTTCCTGTTTCCAGGATCTGATGCCTCTGTTATTAGTCCTTCTGGGTTTGAAAAAGATAAAAAAGGCAAGTAATGATATAATAGGTTAAAAAGATGACCAGACCGGCCTGGGAACACCAGAGAATCAGAGAACGGTTTGGTTTGGAAAGGTCCTTATAGATCATCAAGTTCCAAGTCCCCTGCCATGGGCAGGGACCCCTTCCACAGGACCAGGTTGTTCAAAGACCCATCCAGCCTGGTCTTGTTGGGTCAGGGATGGGGCTGCGACAGCTTCTCCAGGCAGATGGCTCCAGAGGAGACAAATTCTTCAGGGCATTATAAATTGACATTGATTCCAGCCTTGCAAGGGATGGAGGAGGTTCCATAGGGCCAGGATGCTGCTGGCAAAGCCTGTACCTGTACACACATAAACTGCAGTCTTGACCAGCACTGCCAGCACACTGACTCCAGAGCTGCAGTTCCTGCAGCGATTGCAGGAAAGCCAAGGGCGTGCAGGAGAGCAGAAAACCCTGAAGAACTGGGTGATCTTGTGCTCCCTCTGCTCTAGGCCCAGCCAGCCCTGTGAGAACAGGGGGAGTGCTGGCTGAGAGGGAGGGCACTAGCAGTGAAATTGCACTGCTCTCCTGATGTTGCTCATGCACCACCCTTTAGCCTGTGCTCATTTCTTGTGATGAGCAAACACCTGCACCATCAAAAGCAGAATTTCAGACACACACCAGGATCCCAGCCCAGAAAAACACCCAGCTTGTAGGGAAAACTCCAGAACCCCACCCCATCCCTTGTTTAAAGCACAAGGTATTGTAGGGAGCACTCCAGATCCTCACACTGTGCTTTGTTTAGAGCACAAGGTGACTGCCTTCCTCAGCACTACACCTGAATGGGCACAGTCAAGGCTCATGGATATCTGGGTGTAGATACTGCCACAGCACTGCCACAGCTCTGTGAGGACAGCAGAGGCTAAACATCAGAGGGCACACACTCTGCCATATCTGTTCCACCTCTCAGCCTGGCTGAAACATGCCAAAATAGCCCCCAAACTGGAAAAAAGGTAACACAAAGGGGAATAAATTCTGCTGGATAGGCGTGTTAGGATGAGGGATGGGAGAAAAGAAGGTAAAGAGGGCAACCTGCAAAACTGTCCCATCTTCTGGCATTTCCAGATGCTTCTGTTCTTGAGAACTGAGTCTCTGAAGGCAGCAGCAGTGGGAGTGTGACTGGACATGATAAAGAGCAGTGCTGGGGAATTGGGCACCACAAGGACAGGAGCCAGGCACAGACCCTGAGTGCACAAAGCACCAGGGCACAGTGGATTGCAGGTGCCCAAAAGTAAGTGAGGAGCACAGGACCCATCCCTGGGTCTGGTGATGTGGGGTGGGACTCGTTCCCCCAACACAGCTGCAGAAACCAGCAAGAAATAGTTGCCCTCAAGCTGCAGTCCAAATAAGCACAGTTGGCTGATCATTCAGCTCATTGACGTTCATATCTAAATATAAAGACATATTTTTTTTATGAGAAAATTGCTCCTATTTTTTTTTCCTCTGAAGAAAAATACAACAGAAGTAGTCCCAAGTTTTTCAGCTGCACAGATATAATTATACCACTTAAATTCTCTGATGCAGGGGTGCAGGGAAAATATGACTGCAGAGATCTGAAGGGTGCTGTTGCTATGGTGCTTTCTGAACTGGGATGTTTCTTGGCTCCTGAAATGTTAAACACTTAAAAAGGCAGCTTATCATCTCAAGTTTTCTTAAAGACCTACGAGAGCCCATGAGCCAAGATTCTGCATTAACCCTCAGATGAAGTTGGAAGGAGCTGCAAGAGATGAGGAGCTACGCTGAGTTTGAGAAAACTGCGGCCACTTTTTCCTCCTGCCACCCCACCAACAGATATGGGGAGAAAGGAAGGGCCACCGAAGTGGCTGTGGCTTTTTTGGCTTTACATGACCTGGAAAGAGAGGCTGGGACAGCTGTGCTTGCTCAGCTGGGTGAAGAGGAGGAGTCACAGCAGCCCACAAGGGCTTGAAGGAAACCTACGACGGGACAAACCCTTTTTGGTGGTGCCACACAACACACGGAGCGGGGGAAAAACCATGCAAATTCCTGCTTAGGAGGCTAGAGCTGGCCTTTGGGAAAAGGTTTTTTTTCTCCAGGAAAATGGTGCAGCAGTGAAAGTGACACTCAGAGAGGTCACAAAAGCTGGTGTGCTCTAGTTCTGCCAATGTCTGCTCCAAGCTGCTTTTTTTAGAGCCCAAACCAACCCATCCCATTCCCACAGTCTTGTGGCATTTTGGGCCAGAGAAACAGCCACGCTAGGTCTGCGTGCTCCTGTGAGCCCGGGGGTGGGCGACGGCCTTACCTTCGGGGATTTCCCCGTGGTTCTCGTCCTGGTCCAGGCGCAGGATGCTGGGGCTGAGGCAGCCGTAGGCCTGGCGCAGCAGGCAGAACATGTTGGCCTGCCAGGGCGGGTGCAGCCTGGCGAAGAACTGCTCGTACTCCCTGTCCGACAGAGTGCTGCCCGGCACGGGCGCCACCGGCGCTGCCACTGCCGCCCGCGGCAAGGCCAGCACTGTGCCTGCGGGACAAACAACCTGGGATGGGATGGCATGGGATAGGATGGGATGGGATGAGATGGCATGGCATGGCATGGCATGGCATGGGCTGTCCTTGACAGGCGGCTGGAGGTGAAGGAGCGGCTGGCAGGTTGGCCTGCTCCTGTCTGCTGGCACAGCGTGCTGGGACAAACCCTTCAGCTGCTGGCCCTGCGGGCAGGGTGCTGGGTTAACCAGGAGCCCCAGGAGAAAGGGGTCATAGAGAATAAAAAGGAAGGGAAAAAACCAAAAAAACCTTTAAAAGGCAGATTTTATTGTGAGCTTGGTTTGGACTGGGGGGAAGTGTTTTGATTTTGGTTTTGTTGTTTCCTTTTTATGTGTGTGTGTATGTGTGTGTTTTTGTGGAGGGAGGCTGAGTTTTTTGGTGGGTTTTTTTTTGTTTGTTTAGGGTTTTTTTGTGGGTTTTTTTTTTGGGGGGGAGGGGTGGTGGCGTTGATGTGCTTTTTTTATTTTTCCCCTCAAAAGCCCCAGCCTGCAGAGGCACCCACAACGGTGGAGGCTCCCCTGCTCCCTACAGCACCATGCTATGGGCACATCCCTGTCCAGGGGGACTCCCTCCATCTCCTCCCTCCCCTCTTTGCTTCCGGCTGGGCCTCCTTTCCTGCTGCCTCCGCACCACCCTCTGTCCCCACCCTAAGTCCCCGCAGGAGCCTCCAGCTGCCCGGGGCGGGCAGAGCTGGGGCTGACACGGCCTGTGGGCCAGCCGGGATGGTCTTGTGGGCGACGGGGCCGGGCAGCAGCAGCAGGAGGGCTCCAGCCGCAGGCTCTGAGGCGGCCGGCAATGGCAGTCACTTACTCAGCAGCCAGAGGAGCCACTTGGTGTGTGCCACTCGCTTCGGCATCGTGGAGCTGCTCGGTGGCCAGGCGGGAGTCACTCACACCGCGCAGGGCAGACGCAGGAAGTCCGAGCGCTCGGGTTCTGCCCTTGGCAACGGTGGAACCATTCCCGGGCCGCGGCACCGCGATCGGAACCGGACCGCGGGGCCGCGCCGGGGCTGGGGCTGCCTGCCCGCCAGGGGACACGCCGGGCCCACGGGGACAAGGAGGAGCGGGAGCCAGGCTGGGAGCGTCTCCCTCTGCTTGGGGGCACGGTAGTGGCTGGGAACGACCCACGACAGCGTTTGAGGCCTGGCCAGGATAACCTGAGGCTGAGGGTACCCCAAAAATGGTACCTGTGGGGTACCTTAAACCCCACATTGTTTTATGCGGGGGAAAGCGGCAACATCTGTTCCATCCGCAGGGGTCTGAGAAGCACCCCGTGCCTTCCCAGGAGTGTCCCAGCTTGCTTCAGGGCGTGGTGGGAATCTGGCTTGGTCTCTCCCACTTGCTGAACTCCCGGGGAGTCAAGGGAGCACCAGCTGCTCTCCCTCTGCTTCTGCCCTGAGCGCCTCTGTGTGCACAGTAAAGGCTTCCCAGGAAAAGCAGGAAGATTGCTGCCGGCAGAAAGGGTTCGGGGACCACCAGCGCAGAGCCCTAAGGACTGGCTGTGAGGCAGACCCACAGCCATGCCCGTTCCTTAGTGCCGGGACACCCGAGGTGCAGGCACGGACACCGCGGCCCCCCAGGGCTGGGCACCTTGCGGTGCCGCGGGGAGAGAGACACGGCCGCAGCCAGCACGGCTGAGCAGCTGGCAGGAAAACGCTTGGCACAGCAGCTCCGGGAAGTGCAGGCGTAAGCAGAAGTCAGGCTGGCACGGCAGCCCCCGCCTGTCACCCCTGGCTCTGCGGAGCGGCGGCGGCGGAGCCAAGGAGGAGCTGCGGGCAAAGCGGGCAGAGTTTTCCGCTGCAGGGCTCTGCTGCAGGAGCCGCTTGTGCCGCAGGTCCGGGGAGGTTCCGGCGGCTCTGCCGTGCGGAGCGGCTGCAGAGCGCTGCGGGTGCCCCGGCTGCGGTGGCGGGGCTGACACATCGCCTGCCAGAGCCCTGTGGCCATTCGGGCTAGCGAGGTGACAGCTCAGATCGCTGCAGCCACGCAGTGTGGTAAAGAGGTGTGTGCTGTCAGCACGTAGCTCTGCGGGGCCTGGCAGGAGACGAGCTGGGGTTTGCTCTGAGGTGTCTTGTTGGAAAGTGGCGTTTCTGAGAAGCTTGAAGCCTGACCATTTAAAAACGGCACTCTGAATTTTGAATGCTTTTGCAGCTCTTTAGGAAAACAATAATCAGGAGAGTTTTTCCAGCTAGCTCTTGCTACCCATATTAAAATAGGAAACACTGCTGGAGCTTATTTTTGGCAGTTCCTAGTCTTCCATTACTTAGCTGGAGACATATTGCTTATTAGCTGATTTTAGACAATTGCAGGGCCTTCAGCTCCCTAGCTCTGTTAATCACCTCCACTTCTCTGCAACGAAAGAGCCAAGGCTGAGCTCTGTCACCCTGATTGAGGAGCTTCCCAGAGAAGTTCAGTGCTGACCTCACTGGCTGATAGAAATATGGGACTAAGGAAAGCACCCTGATCTGGCATGCCACAGAATCATAGAATCATAGAATGGTTTGGGTTGGAAGGGACCTTAAAGATCATCCAATTCCAAACCCCCTGCCACAGGCATGGACACCTCCCACTAGAACAGGTTGCTCAGGGCTCCAGCCCACCTGGCCATGAACACTGCCAGGGATGGGGCACCCAGCACCTCTCTGGGCAATGCCACACGGTGTTATTGATACCTGCCAGGTGCTGGTTACTCTGCCTGTGTGTTCACGTGCCAGCAAGAGATTTATTTTCCTGAGAACAGGAAACAAGAATGAATGCAAAGGAAGGGTACGTGTCAAAGGAGTCCCCATTGGCTGGTGCTCTGGTAGCAATCCCTGTGGTGAGCTGCTGTTTATTTGGAAAGGTGGTTACGGATGTGAGGACATGTTGGCTACCCAGCACTTCTCATGCACTGTGGCACGTCCTGGACTTGGTTCAGGTTGTCAGAATCCTTCAGAAAACTCCACAAGAGTCCACAAGTGGATTCTACAGAAGCCAGTGAGTCTCTGGCATGCACCCAGCGGGGTTGGGAGGCTGTGAGAGCAGGAGGCACTGCTGTGCTGTTTGATGAGGTGTGTGCCAGCTGGCTGTGGGGCACCTGCATTCCAAGTCTTTGCAAAACCAAAGTCATCTCTGGGGGAGGGAAGAGGAGGGGAGGAACAGCAACTTGTACACGATGCATCAATGCTGCAGGCTGGGGGAAGTCTACTCCCTACTGCTGCATCAAGCAATTACAGTTGTCAGCAATGCGGAGCACGGGGGTGATGCTAATTCCAGTGTTTCTGATTTCTGAGGGCTCACTTGGCACCTTTAAGGCTGTACCCTCGATGGTGCATTACAAGCCGTGTAATTTTTGCAGTGAAGCAGATTTGCACCCTTGTTTTCAGGGCTGCCACACAGCAGAGTTTCCTGCAGCCAGTGTTCCTGTGCCAGCTGGGACCTGGTGGGCTGAGGGACACAGCTGTAACCCCCAGGTCTACGGAGTCCTGAGCCAGCAGCAGGGAGGTGAAATAGCAGGACAAGAACTCACTGGAATGGTGTTTTCCATGTTAATATCCAACTGCATGTCAACCCTGAGCTTTGTAAGAGCCTGTCTGGTTAGTGAGGTACCACCCTTCAGCAGATGAGCTCCTCTTCCTTGTTGTTGTCTCAAATGCTTTGGGTATTTCTCAGCATTTTCTGTGCTGCATGTTCCACCAGCAGCAGCAGCAGCAATGCCTGAAAACCTCTTGGAAACTCCAGGACCATGGCTCACAGACCTTGTGCCAGCACAGTGAGTTAAACTGGGGGGTTTGGGGCAGGGAGAGGATGTCTGGTCAGCTGAAAACCCCATAAAGATGGGGGGGCCACAAAGATCAGGTGTGCATTCCAGTGGCTTGTGAAGCAGCATCTCCAGAAAGCATGTGTCTTAAATAATTTGAAACGTGAGCAGAGATGATAGAAAAATGCTTCCAAACGCAGCTGGATGTGTGTTGGTAGAAATGAAACAGCAGGCTGCTTAGGGAGGAGGCCACGAGCAGCTCTGCTTGTGTCGATGCTGGGGTCGACAGAGCCCCCGAGACAACGCCAGGTTGTGCATTCCTTGCAGTGCACCAAAGGAGGGTGTGTAGGTACCTCCATTCCCCAAAACACACACCTCAGGAGCGGGCAGAGAAGGGGGACACTCACTCTGCTCACACAAGGAGTTGCGCAGTCTGAGGAGCCGCTCAGCAGAGGGGACAGCCCTGCCAAGAGCCCCCAGGCCAGCACAGAGCAGACAGGCAAAGAGCCCCTTCCCGTTCAGCACTGACCATTCCAAACACTTCTCCAAGATGCCAGTGCTGGACACCTTCACCCCGTGGGAAGGGCTGTAGGTACCAGCCCGTGCAGAGCAGGGCACAGAAGCCCATCTGCACAGACAAAAGCGCCTGGGAGTGTTCTGATTCAAACCAAAATTCTCTAAATTGCTGACTTTATTCACAGGTTAAATCGTCTTCATTCTTCATTTGTACTTTATTTCGGTGGGTTTACTGTCATTGGCTGAGACCTATGCGAATATGCTGATAAATATAGACTTTACATTAAAATTGGCACTCTTTTTAACCTGGTAGATATGTTAATCTATTCACATTTGTACAAGCACCGCACAGTTATAACGTGCATTAATTCAAATACTTAATTTACATTTTATTTTGTTAGGAAATAGTGAATGAAGCATTTTTTACTTGACATTTAGAAAATGGAATATTTAATTGATTGCAAAAACAGCATTTAAAAATGGTTTCTTGAATTATTAATACAAACTAAAATGGAGTGGATACATAAAAGCCTGCTTGAACAAACTGCTGTAGCCTTTTTAGGCAGGTTTGTTGCATGCAAGAACAACCTGATCCAACCACAATTTTATCCCTAATGTGAGCAGGGGCCTGGACTACAAAGCTCCAGAGAGGCTTCTTCCCCACCTCAGTCTTTCTGTGGTGAGTAAATGGGTTCTTCCAATGGCTGCATCATTCAGGCTTTCAGAATGAGGAAATGCCAAGGTCTCACACTTCTTTTCCTTGCTTGTTGTGTGTAAAAAATAATTCCTTTCCTACTCCCAGATGGGGTTTCGGTTTTGAATGAGTTGTTTCTTCAGTGGCAGCAACCCAGCCCACTGAAATTAAATTGCACACCTGCAAAAACAGACCGAAGGGGACACCTTGGTGAACATTTCTATCACACCAAGACGTAGGAGCTTAGTGTTTGTCACAGCTTTGCCTGTCCTTAAGCCTTGGGCACAAATGTGTTTTTCTAAAACTAACACTCCTAGTTTCTTTTATGTATTCAGAAAAATAAACATAAATTAGCATAAATTAATCAAGATGTTTGACTATTTTTATAAATGAAATTCATTTTATTGGATAAAAACAGCTTTATTTCTTCTGATACTGTAACTAATAGGAAGCAGAGTTGGAGAAACTTCCTTCAGTTGTCTTTGGAAAGAAAGGTAGGACATTTCATTTTCTTCTATTAGTTTTTAACTCTTTCAGTGCTGCAGTCTTCCTTGCCTACAGCCAGATCTTTAGAGCAGATGTTCCCACTCTCAATGTCTTCACACTGGCAGGGAGAAAGTGGAGCTGTGGTTGATTATAAAAAGCAGAACAGCTCAGAATTTTTCAAACCAGGCAGGTCTGTAACGAGATGGGCTTATTTTCAGTCTGTATGAGCAAGCTGTCTCTTGGGAATGTCTTCCACTGCCAACTTGAGACCTCTGGGCCGATTTGGGCAACCTTTGAATTGAGTGTACATGACAGTGAGAGTGTCCACCGCACAGCTCTGGGTGTTTGCTGGGTGAGTAGTACCTTGAGAGTGCTTAAAGCAAGGCTGGGTGTTGCTGAGCTGTGGGGTGAGTTTACTCACAGGCAGGAGAGGAAGGTGGCTCCGTGGTGGAAACTGAGTCGTGGCTGGGATGGCTTCCATGCCATGGACATGGTGGTGGCAGAGCCTGAGGGACGGGAGCCTGAGGAGCACATCTGCTCCTTGGAAAGGGGAATACTTTGCTGAACATCCTCGTCAGCACATTTGCCCAGCTACTCAGGAAAGATGCCCACAGATGGGGCAATCAAACTGGGCAAGATAAATTGGTCGTTTGTGTGCAGGACCAATTATTATTAATAAATGGGCTTAACAAGGCTGCAAAATTCTTCCCTCTTGTCACGCTCTATGGCTCCAACCTCCTGAAACTCAGACTTGACTTCACTCATCAACTAGGATATTTCCAATCACTCTAAAAGGGCAATTTCTCCAGCACCATTTTAGAAAGTGTTTATGTTGCACTGACAGCTGTTCCAGGAAATCTGCAAGCTAGCCAGTTCTGCAACAGAGTTCATGATTACTTTAACTGAGTATATCCCTGCTTTAAGCACTTCAATTCTAGAAGTAAACTTCTCAGATCCCATTACCACTACAGTGATCCAGGTAACTATTAACAAGGATCTTAAAAAAATTCAACTAATTTTTGACAGATTTTTTTTTTTTTTGGCAACTTCCCATCAAACTGATTTTATTTTGTTGACCTGGATTTCTTGCTTGTTTTAGGGAGAAGCAATTTACTGCCGCACTATTCCAGTATTTCACATCTGGACTGTTGTGGCAGCCTTCTTGACATCATTAAGGACCAAAAAAGAGCTGGCCCTTTTCCAGCCTCATAGGTTTTCCTAAGCAGTCCAGAGTCTGACAGAGATCAACCCACAGATGCCTCCGGGTGGCTTTCACAGGACGACAAACATCATTTATTGAGGACTGGTGATTAAAAAAGTCTTTGCCCCAAGAGGTGCCATTTAAAACCCTTCTTTACTGTTTGCCTAGGAAGTACACCATCCCCATATGACACCAGCACCAACACAGAATAAATATTTACAGAACACTTCCCCTCTTCTCATTACAAACAATTCTGCTATCTGCAGTCAGTAATGGACAAGTGCCATGTTCAATTATATCAAAAACAAAAGGCATTCTAAAAAAAGCTGCTCATGTTTCCAGCCTTGTCACTTACAGGCTTTGTTCCTACTGGCTTCATTTTTGTACTTTGTATTTTCTAGCTCCTACTGGTTCTTTTCCTCCTCTGGTGATTAAATACCGCACAGCTATTGCCCTTATTCCCTCTCTTCCAAGGTTAGCTTTTAATGTGCTTTCATTTGCATTTATACTTGCAAGCCATTTGAAAATGCCCAGGTTTTATCCAAATTTTGGTGTAAGTTGTCTCATTGTACAAGTCAGAGCATTCCCTCAGTCCCTCAGTGGCACAGAAGTACCTGGAATGCTCCTGGCTGCTGGCTAGTGCTTCAAACCCCTCTCTGGCCCATGGTTCCTAGAGAGCTTGCTGCTAATGCTGGCCATTAAATCCCGTGTCCTATCCATTGAAACCAAGCTGCTTGGAGCAGTTTCCACCCTCCATCACCCCCACCCCCTGCCCAAAGCCCATTTTCCAGTTCAGGCCTCATCCACTGTTTCTTCTGTCAGTTGAGCACCAGTGGATGTCTGAGTAACCCCCAGCTGAAGAGATGAGGTCTCCTGCCACAGCCTGCTCACCCACTGGCTCATACTAAAACCATACCAGAGACACAGCCAACACCTTCCAGAACTTGCTTCACCTCTTTTTAAGAAAGGAAGCCCCAGGAGGTGGTGTAATAAAATCTGGGGATTGAGATTCAGACTGTGGCAGGGGTACCACAAACCATGTAAGTCACAGCCTGGGGAAGAACTCATCCTTTTTTCTGTGCAGAATGAACAGAAAAACAGAATGAACATCCCTTCTCAAGGCAAAAGCAGAGACTGACTCAGTGCTAACTCACTTGAACAGAAAATAACATCAGCTTCTGAGCTGAGGGCTGCAGGGTCCCCATGCAGTGACATGGTGGGAGTAGCACTGATCTTAACCCACAGTGTCTTCTGAACCCGAGCAGAGCTTTGGCTTCATAACTAAACCAGCAAAATCCTCCATGGATCCTCGTACAAGTAATTTGGGTGAGGAAAACATTCCATGTTTCAGGTGAAAGGCTTAAACCTTCCTGGTGAGCAGACCACAAGGAGGAAGAAGTCTTAGTTTGTCAGTCTGCAGGCTGTGCCAATGGAATTCATAAAGAGCAGCTTCAGTACGGGCCATCTCCTCACAGCTATCTGCAGACACTACAGACCTTCAGACTGCAGGTCTTCTGGAATCGTTTTGGAGCCTAATTTATGTTAGGAACAGCAGGCAGAGTTTCTTGCAACAAGGTGATTGTGACCTTCTGGGAAGCAAGCTATCAGCTTGTCTGGAAAACCTATCCACCTTCTTGGAGGCACGTGGTTTGTCTTGATGGCTTATCTTCTCAGCTGTGCTGCCCAACAGACAGTGAGGGTCGGCCTTTGCCACCTCCACTCCTGTTCATTTAAGAGAAGATGAAGCAAATCATCAAACAATAGTGGGAATAAATGTTCCCCTTCTTGCGAGGGCATGGCTGCAGGGGCAGGTATTTTTCACAGCCCAGAAGCTTTCTGCAAGTACATTAGGTACATTTTCTTTTCAAGCCTGACTTATGCAGAATGTCACTTTTTAGGGACAGGACTGCTGCATGAAAAAGCTGTACCACATTCACCATTTCCAATAAATGCGGAGCTAAGAGAGAAAGAATTGCTGCAGTTTATTTTGGAGGTGACATCAAGGCAAACAGAGCATTGGTTTCAATGAATTTTATTTCATTCTCTATTATACAAGTGGGATCTGAATCCCCAAACTTCCCACCATCAATGTCATGGAGAAGCACCGCTACACAAGAGGAAGGCAGAATTTTGAAGCTGGAAGACAGACTGGACCAAGCTGTTTCTCCCCACGTGGTCAGAAATTCTTCCTCCTTCACATAGTGTGCTTCCCAGACCAGCAGGTTTACCCCAGGAATGAGAGACAAAGCTAGCTCTAAACATCCCTCTGCCTCCTCCTCTCCCCAACAAAAGAGGCTGTCCAATGCCAGCAGTGGAATGGTTAAAGACAGGGAGCACATCACGTTTTCAGTCTCTCAACCAGCCCACTAGATTAAGAAGTAGCCTGGTTACTCCCTCTCTCCTGAAAAAGATCCAGGAAAATGAATGACCTAAAATGCTGAAGACTTACCTCCTTTCCTTCCCCCATCCCATAGCCTTGTTCTCTAAGCAGAGAACAGGCAATGAACTCTGAGGAGGCTGAAGGAAAGCCAAGGAAAATCAGGGGCTACCTGAATCCCTGGGAATCTGGTGGCTACCCTGGTGCCCTCATTCATTCCCTTTGAGGTTCAGAGACCTGTTTGGAATAGTACACAGAGAGGGCCTCCCTTAAGGACTCAGAAGCAACCAGGGATACAGAACACACAGGAACCACCGTGAGGGTACACACCATTCCAGGGATGGCCCAAACCACAAACAGGGCAAGACTTCCCTTCAGCCAAGGCCCCAAGGGCTGGGAGAACTGGGACGAGGCCCTGGCAGGGGGAAGAGAGCTCCTGCAGCAGTACTGAGGTCTCATGTGAATTTACTTCTTCTTCCTCTCCTGGGAACAGCGAGGGCAGAACCTGTTAGAAAGGGAAGTACAAAGCCAACATTTAGGGCATGACATGAGCCTCAAGTGCATGGTCCCAAAAGACCTTTTCCAAGGTCCCTGACAAAGCCTTAATTCAAATTTTCCTTTCAATGATATCTTCTAAGTGTGTATATATAGTACTTTTCCCCCTGCCACCAAGGGCCTCCCCTTTCCAAAGGTCAAATGGGCCCCCCAGGTTGCTTCACTCACCATTTTCCTCTTGGTTTTGTTGTCAGACCCACACAGGCAAAATGAAACCATTCAATGGAACACTGTTGGGATGAAGAACAGCCAGTTAAAGACCAGTTTCCTTTTGAAGTTGTTGCTTTTGGGCTACCAGAGTTTCCCAGTTTATTTAATCATAAACTCCAAAATCCCTAGCAGTGATCAAGGATTGAATATTCACACCCAGTCTACACGCTGTTAGCAAGGAGAACTCCCCTTCTCGCATGCTAAGTTTAGGGACAAGAAAACAATTTAAGGAAAACCCTGAAGAGAGAGGCACTTGAGGCCATTGCCAGCCACACCTCTGCCCATCCCAGCTACCTGATGTAAGCCCTCTCCTTGTCACTGCTTGCTGTCCCAGGGCCCACCCAAGCAGGACAAGATTTTCCATGCAAGACTCATCTCCACTCCGTTCCCCCCCCAGTTCCATCATGTGCAGGCTCTTACATCTGGGTTGTCACAGCCAATCATCTCCCCATAGGAGACCTGGTGGCAGAGGCAGTAAGTGGGCTCATTGGGGTCCACGGGCATATCCAGTACATCCGAGGGGTGCACATTTCCAAAGGTGACAGAAGGCATCCCATACTCTGTGCTACTGCAGGACAGGAATAAAGTACATCAGCAAAGTAACTGGCTTTGAGAACCTTTGTGTGTCCCAAGGCAGCGCCCTTGTCTGCCAGAGACAGGTACTTCTCTTATTTAAGTGTATACACCCAGGGGACCTGCTTTTCCCTTCAACCCACACTGCCCTGAAAGAATAAGGAAGTTTCCTTCCTCTTGCTTCCCAAGAAGGGACAGAGGACACACAGTTCCAGTCTGGGGATCTCAGGGAAGCCTGGCTAGGTCTGCCTTGGTCTGATTTCTGGTGCTGCTTCTCATTCCCTCGAGTCGCTTAAACACTTACGTGCGGACGAGCTTCAATTTCTTTTGGGCAGTTTTTGGTGCTTCCTCATCAGAGTTTTTCCCTTTGGAGCGAGCGCGGGCAGCTTTTTTCTCTTTCTGGGCTCGGCCCTCTGGTAAGAAGAGAAAAAGGTGTTGCATCTGTCACCCCACCAAAACAGACACCTGACAGTGACAACCTCTGCAGCACTACAATACACTCCTGCTTTGGAATGTATACTGGCTTTGGGCCGTGCACCCCATCTTAATTTATCTAGCGGCCTTGCATACGCTCACACGGGAAGAGCCCAGTCACCACCTTTTTACCTGTCCTTCAGACTCCAGCGCAACAGTCTTTGATCTGCACCACTCCAGAGCCTGCCTTCATCCCCACCACTTCCACAGTCACTCGGCTGCCTCCTGAATCAATCTGCAGCCCAGTGGTGGTACTCACTCTTCTTGCCCTTGCTGGAAGAGCTGTCATAGTCACTCGACTCTATCTGCTTCTCCTTCAGGTCTGCTTCAAAGCGAGCGAGGTCTGTGTCCAGCCGCCGGATGTGCTTATCGACCTGCAAAGACAGCAGTGGCCAGCGGTTACCACAGGACAGAGCCAGGAAGGCAAAGAGAGGACAAAGAGGGGACAAAGGGGCAGGGGGCCCTTTATGAGGCTCCCTAAAGACTTAGGCCCACTAAAGAGCCGAAGAGCAAGAGTGGGCATGGCCTAAAAATGAGAGATCGCCCTTGTGCGATGGGCGGCTTTAGTTCGGGCGTTCACACGATAAGCACGAGACACTTCCCTTCATACCATCTCGTAGGTCTGCATAGCCAGCTGAACTTTGTCGTCCCCAAACTCCTTGCACTTTCCATAGGCCTCCTGGATTTGCTTGAGAAGCCCCAGTTTTTCCTCGGAAGACAAAGTCCGTGCATTGCTGATGTACTCCGTGGCCAACTTATCGATCTCTGACTTGAGGTCTGAAACAAGTGAGCCATTAAATACACAAACACCACGCACACCACACTGCCCTCCACCAGGAGAGACTGAACGACTGGAGCAGCTCCAGGCCTCCTCCCCTGCCTGGAGATCCCCATGACAAAGGCAAAGCAGAGCAAAGCTGGTCAAGCTACATACTCCTTGTCTTGCCAACAAAACCATCCCTGATCCTCACCTTCTGTCCTCTGATCCAGATCTCGCATGAGCTGGAAGTTTCTCTGTAATTCAAATGGCAGGTTCTCAATACCTGCAGAGAAAGGAGAACACATGGAGAAATCAGGCTCTTGTCCACGATGCCAAGGCAGGAACAAAGCTAACCACTAACATACACACCCCCCGGTGCACATCAGACTGCTTCCATTTGTTGCTGGCCCCAAGGGAGACAGACTATAAAAATGTGATATATTTAATGCAGAAGCATAGTTCTAGAATATATATTAGTTAGAAGAAAACTGCTGCCATGCAGAAAGGTCCACACTAAGAAAGCAGAAACCCAAAATCTGTAATGAAGTCACTCATTATAATACAACATCTCCATCCAAAAACTCCACTCAGTAATGAAAAAAAAAACCCCAACAGCTGGTAAATATAGCCATTTACTTATATCTACATAAGGATGTAAAAATTAAGTTGATCAAATGCTAATTCACTGAAAAGTGAATCTGTTTAATGCATTCATGTAACATACAGGGGTCGTAGACACTTTGGGCAGAGCAAAGATCAAGTCTGAGATGGGATGGGGAACAGAGTGCAGCCTTAACCCCTCGTGACTTGTAACTTGTTGTGCCTTCTGCCCTGTCATCTCAGTGTGGTGTGTCCAACACCTGGAAGGATGCCACACACCGTGAATAATAAATGTTTGTAGGGCTCTGAATGAGCAATGTGAAGTTGATAGTCAATTAATTTTCAATGCACTATGCTACTCACCCCCCAGGCATCACCAGATGCTCAACTGGCAAAGCTGGTAAAAATAATTCTTCTTTTTCCATGCCTGTCTAATCAAAATGAGATCTAGTGTCACTGAATTAACCTGAAGCCTAAGCCTGATTACTGTCACCTTTATACCTCATAAAAATAATAAATCTCTCTTGAAGGTTTAAAAAAGAAGGTCTTGGGGAAAGCTCTTCACAAACACAGCGGAAGCATGTCTCAGCTTCCTGAACTCGCTCTGCAGCTCACATGGAGTGCATCACCAAAGCCATCCAACACATCAGTCCAGGCAGCAATCTCTATTTTCCCTGCACATATTTCTACAGCAATGAATGCCTTTCCACTTCCCTGAAGAGCAACCAGTTGACAGGGAAGGTTCTGTAGGCAAGAAGAAGGTTTTAACAAGTTTTAACAAGTACTACATAACAGGACGTGAAATTAATTCCTGTAAGAGATAAAGCCAACTATGGGCCTTGCTGAGCAGTAAAGTTGCTCCTTTTACTTAGACTTTTGCCCAAACAGCATAATAAGAAGTTACATGCACAACACTTAGGAGCAATCAAGCCGCTGCTTCAACAGATTTCTGTTGCCATTTCTGATTTAGTTACCTGAGAAATGCTCAGATAGTAGGTGTCCTTAAGTACCCAGATACATATTCCACAGCACATACACATCACCCCTGCATTCAAGGACAGTTAGCAGGGCAAATTCAAATGCTGAAAAATTAGTAAGTGGCAAAATGAAGTCTGTAGGCACCTCCTGAATTTGATCCTTCCATGTGTGTTCGGCATGACAGACTTCACACAAGGGTTAAGCAGCTGACTACCGGATTACATCCCTATGGTTCGAAAAAGCATCTCAGAACACGACGGGGACACAATGCTGAAAATTATTATTGCTTATAGAGGGAGCTTATGGCAGGGATGAAATTCAGCTTGGGAATCTAGAGACCATGCCTTTTTCCCTCCTGCAATCCCCAGCCTCATCAACTCTAAACCTTTCAATTTATACAGCAAATGAAACATGGGGCATACTGCAGCACGCTGCTTTTCATTCCTCTCCAAAGCGCCCGCTGCAGAAGACAAGACAGGTATCCTCTAGAGGAAAACAGAAGCTCTTCCTGCACTGCACACAATATGTCAAATTTATATTGAGTTTATTAATCCTGGAAGATCACAGCTTCTAAATTCTGGACTTTGTGGTTTTTAGAAAAGATTAATGTAATTTCTTTTTCTCTTCTGAAAAGGACAGATGGTAAAAGCACAAATTCCACCAGGTACTGTCAGCTTTCCCTCAGCAGGGCTAGAAACCTTTAGATAGAGCAAGCTCCTGAGCCAGCACAAAAACCAGTAGGATGCTACTGTGCGGGCAGATCAACCCCACATGAGGTTAGGGTCACATTTCACAGTGATATTCTTGCAGCAGGAGAAACTCAAGCAGGAGTTTGATTCAGCTACACAACCTGAAAAGAACTGTGCTCTAGTTTTTACAGCCATCACTGTAAAAATCTGCCACCACCACTGATGCCAGCACATGTCCTCGTCTGGACATCTGTCCTTCTTTTGCCTCTACGTGCCTTGTCTGTTCAGCCTGTGCCCCCCACCCCTGAGAGCCCCTCTCTCCCCAGAGCCCGCTCCCCTCAGTGCCAGCCCCTCAGCCAGGCCAGTGGCTCCCGTGCCTCATTCCCTGCCTCCCGGCGTGCAGAGCCCCCTGCTCCCGGCGGCTCTGGCAGCGTGGGGAGGGAGGGCTGTCACCTGCCTCTGCTTCTGGCCGAGCGGGCGCTCAGCTCAGGCACCACGGGCAGATCGTTTACGCACATGTGAGCCACGATCTTCCAGAGGCTCATTAGCTGGGCAGGCTTCCGCTGGGGCTGACAGACAAACCCCTGCCAGTTGAATTCCTTCCCTGCTAAAACCAGCAAAACGATTTCCTAAAACCACGGCAAAACATTTCACTCGGCAAATCTATTATTGGACAAATGTTCTGCCACTGCTTCGTCAATAAATGGAGAAAATGAAACAAGTGACAGTACAGTGACTTTATAATCAGAACTGCTACAAAGATACTTTATCTGTTCAACTGAACGTGGAAGGAAGCTGAGCAGACCGTTACAAATTATGATCCAGAGAGAATCTGGCAATAACAAAAAGCATAACAAGATAAAGCTGCAGATAAGCAAGTTATAACTGAGCAACAAACTATTTGTATGGTACATAACTTAATCTAGCTGTGGGGATGTTTTCTACTATCTGCAGCTTAACTCCAAAGCTCTTGCATAGCCTTAAACAGAAGTGATTCTCTGCATCACAGAATTTATCACAGGAGCCAGAAGACTTGCAGAAATTTCTTGATCTGTGCTGTGCTGGCTACCAGACATCATCACTCTCTAAGTGCTGTTAAAAAAAAAATTAGATTTGAGTCTCCATTTCCTCATTCCTACCACCACATTTTTCCTCACTATTTCTAAAAAAACATTCATGTTATTTATGTAATTTCATTTCCTCCTGCTTTTCTCCTTTTTTCCCTCTGCAATTAATTTTGCTCTTTCATCTTAGTAAGATTCACTTAAAATCATCATGACTAAATACTATGTATCATAAAATACCCACGTAATTCTCAGATTATGAAACTGATAATTGTAAAGAAAGAACACCCTAGAGACATCTTTGATCACTAGAGAAGATTGATGATATGCAACAACAGACAGAAAAACAAGGAAAAGCAAGGCCCTCTTTCCACACAAATGGCACAGCAGCAGGAGAGGAACAGGAGGATGGTGAAAACGTACAGGGAAGAAAGTGCTAGCAAGGCCAGCAGCGTGGCCCAAAGCATGGGCTGCCATTAACATAACTGTGCCACAGAATCACACAATGGGAAAGCCTGGAAGGGACCAAGTGGGTCACCTGCTCCCACCTCCCTGCTCGAGCAGGGTCATCCCAGAGCACATGGCACAGGATTGCCTTCAGACAGTTCTGGAATATGTCCAGAGAGAGACATCACAACCTTAGTGGGGGAATCTCTTCTAGTGCTTGGTCAGCCACTTAGTATAAGTTCTTCCTCACACTCAGGTGCTCATGTGCATTGCCCCGTGTCCCAGTGCCTGGCACCACTAAGAAGAGCCTGGATCCACCCTCAACACCTCCCTGCAGATACTTATAGACATTGATGAGCCCCCTCTCAGGCATCTCTTCTAAAGGCTAAACAGGCCCAGCTCGCTCAGCCTCTCCTCATGAGAAAGGTGCTCCAGTCTCCAAATCATCCTCATTCCCCTCTGCTGGGCAGGCTCCAGGAGCTCCATGTCTGTCTTTAATGAGGAGCCCAAAACTGGACACTGCACTGCAGAGGAGCCTCTCCAGGGCTGAGCAGATGGGCAGAATTCCTGCCTCAACCTGCTGGCAAGGCTTTTCCTAATGGACTCATTGCACAGATCCATAGAGAAGCTTGGTGCAGAGCCCTACTGATTCCACTCATGGTCTGATTATCCTAAAAATCACCGGAGCAGCTCTCTGTGAATTTTTTTCATCCCTTCCTTTTCTTACCTTGTTTTCATTTCTGATCACAAGCTAAAGTCTCTCTACCTACCTTCGTCTTTTCTCTCCTCAAATGTTATCCCTCCACTAAGCCCATTCTTCTTTCATCTCTTTCACTCTCCTCTTTCCTTGTCATTGTTTTCCCAGTTCATTCTTCCACAGGCATCCATGGCATCCATGACCATGCTGTCTTCTCCCTTCAGAACCACGCACTCTCTCTCCAAAAGTCAGAATCCAACACCACTTTTTTCCCCTCTCCAATAATTATTATTTTATTTACTTCTTTTTAGAAACACACGTGGGCTGTCAGGTGCAGGCAACTGATATTTAAACTTCATCTACTTAACTCAGATGTTAACTGTGACACACAAATGCAGAGAGCAAGCCTACACAGCCTGGTAACTTCAATTGTGCTTCAATCCTCTGCAGCGCATCTGCGCGCTGCCAAACAATGGATTTGTGCTGCCCAAAGTCCTAAAAACGGATCAGTAGCACCAAAGACCACCCAAACACACAGTACCCTTCCCAAGACATCTGTTCACCCACCACGTTTAGATGCATGCTTAAATTTTATTAAAAAATGGGAAAAGACATTTTGAAACATAACCACAGTTGCTTTATTGAACAGCTTAGATTTCAGCAAACACTTCAGACACGACATTGCTGAAGGCAATTAAAAAAATTCCTGCTTGTGCCAGGGACTGCCACAATGAGAGGGTAAGTTCTTTACCCCCCAGGACTGCAAACTGGCTGGGAGCTTGCCAGGGAAGCACAATGGACTTTTTGG